TATATACACACACATACACATACTACACACACACATCACATATATATACACACCACTATATATACACCACACACACACACACACCACAATGATATATATATTTTTTTGTAGAGACAGGTTTCACCATGTTGGACCAACTGGTCTTCGAACTCCTGGCCTCAAGTTTTCGTGCTCATCTTGGCTCCCCAAAGTGCTGGGGCATTACAGGTGTGAGCTACCGTGCCCCTGCCCCAAGTCCACTTTCTTTTTTTTTTTTTTTTTTTGAGACAGAGTCTCGCTCATGTCGCCAGGCTGGGCAGTGCAGTGGCGCGGATCTCTGGTTCACTGCGAAAGCTCGGCCTCCCGGGTTCAGCCCATCCCTGCTCAGCCTCCCGAGTAGCTGGACTACAGGCGCCCGCGCTCGACCCGGTAGTTTTTGTTGATTTTTTTCAGTAGAGAGGGGGTTTCACCGTGTAGCCAGGATGGTCTCGATTTCTCCCGACCCTCGGTGATACTCGCCCGTCTCGGGCTCCAAAGTGCTGGGATTACGGGCTTGACGCCACCGCGCCGGGGCCCCCAAAGTTCACTTTTAAGACTTTGACTTGCCCCATATTTGAAGCTTACGACTGTATTTTCTTCATTGAATTCTTTTGAAAACTATTTTTTCGTTCTATTCAAAGCAAAAACAAACAAAACATGAGGTTTCACCATGTTGGCCAGGCTGGTCTTGAACTCCAGACCTCAAGTGATATGCCCCCCCCTCAGCCTCCCAAAGTGCTGGGATTACAGGCATGAGCCACCATACCCAGCCTGGATTTCAGATTCTAACATCTTGGGCATGTTGAGACCATGGAATTCACTCCCAAGGAATGTGGTAACCTTAAGGAATGGGTGAATGATTGTTCCCCCCACCCCCTACCACTGTAGATATTTATCTGCAACAGTCTGAAGGTAGCCTGTCTATATTGCTTCTGGTTTTATGGTCACCCATCATGTTTTCTTATTCACTGTGGGTTGTTTTGTTGTCTAGTTGTGGAAGATATCAACAAGCGCAGAGAGCCACTCCCCAGCCTGGAGGCTGTGTATCTCATCACTCCATCCGAGAAGGTAAACCTTCCACCAGAGGAGGACCCTGGCTAAGGTTAGATGGACTGGCTTGGGATTTATGTGGCACAGACTGTCTGACATTTCTAGGTTAAGCACGCATTTAACACACTGCTCTGTTTAAGCATGCAATCCACAGTGGGGTGGGGCGGAGGGTGGTGTTTATGCAGTGAGAAGTGATGTATTAAGCGTTCTTAAACACAGCAGCTGTGCAGAAAACCAGAGCCTGTGTTCCATGGCCCTGCATCATTCTAGTTTTCCCCCTGGCACTCCCTCTTCAGGTAGGACCCACTCTGTCTAATTAGCAGTCCACCTCCAGACTTTGGTATTTTATGCTTTCATTTTATTTTATCAATATCCAGTTACTGTTCAGATTTACCTGTCTTATAATTTTGGAGGTTACTTCAAATCACCTTCCAAACAAGGTCCAACTCCTTGCTTCTGGGTAATAGTTGTCTTAGGCAGATTTTGTTTTGTTTTGTCCTTTTCGTTTTGTTTTTTGAGACGGAGTCTAACTCTGTTGCCCAGGCTGGAGTGCAGTGGCACAATCTCAGCTCACTGCAACTTCCACCTCCCGGGTTCAAGATTCTCCTGCTTCACCCTGCTGAGTAGCTGGGATTACAGGCGCCCCCCTGCCACACCCAGCTAATTTTTGTATTTTTAGTAGAGACGGGGTTTCACCATGTTGGCCAGGCTGGTCTCAAACTCCTGACCTCAAGTGATCCACCTGTCTCAATCTCCCAAAGTGCTGGGATTACAAGCGTGAGCCACCACGCTCAGCCTTTTTTTTTTGAGCAGGTCTCATCCATCACCCAGGCTGGAGTGCAGTGGTGTGGTCACAGTTCACTACAGCCCCGACCTCTGGGGCTTAAGTGATCCTCCCACCTCAGCCTCCCAAATAGCTGGGACTGCAGGCACACGCCACCATGCCCAGCTAATTTTTGGTAGAGATGGGGGTCTTGCTATGTTGCCCAGGCTAGTGGCAAACTCCTGAGCTCAAGCAATCCACCTGCCTTGGCCTCCCAAAGTGTTGGGATTACAGGCGTGAGCCACCACGCCAGCCTTAGGTGTCTTAGGCTATATAAATTTCCTCCAATTTTCACACTTTCTTTCCACTTTGAAAACTGGCCTACATATGAGTTTCTACAGATACAAGTAAATTGCCAAAAGGTCATCAATGTGAATCTCCTGGAAGGTTTCTGCCCAGTTTCCTTTTGTTGTGGGTGTCTTCCTAACAACTAATTACATGGCTCCAAAGAACTGATACAGTCATTCCAGAATGAGCTAAGAAGGCCTTTGTTCATCTAAACTCTGAAATAATACTAATTTTAAGTCCTCAGGACTTGGTTGTGGCCAAACATGAGTGTTAGAATTAGGCATCAAAAATCTCCTGATTTTGTGCAAGTGTCTTGAAGCCATTGGATTTACCTCAGTTCAGATACAGGTCCCATTTGGCTCTAGAATTGGATTCAGGTCCCTCTTTTCTCCCCCTGTCCACAGTCCGTCCACTCTCTCATCAGTGACTTTAAGGACCCACCGACTGCTAAATACCGGGCCGCACACGTCTTCTTCACTGACTGTGAGTACAACCGAGAGCTGTCCCCAGTCCCATTAGGCAGGTTAGCATTTCTGCACAGCTGGGCTGAGCCAAAACTAAGGCAGGTCAAGAGGGAAGAAATGGGTTGTTACCATGCTTGTCCCAATCTGCTAGTTTCTCTTCAGAAGATAAATTGCATAAGAGACAAAAATAAGTGCACCAAATACAAACCCACTAGATCATGCAGTCCTTCCTGCTGAAAAATAGCACACAAGCACCTCTTCTCAGGACTGACAGGCTTGGTGCTGAGAATGACCTTCCTGAGGCTTGGCATTTCATTATGTAGACTTCCAGTCAGCACTGTATGCTGTAGTAGGTTTCCATCAATTTTTCAATTACAAAGATATTCCAATCCAGTAGTCTTTGTATTAAATAGAACCTGCGTCATTACCGTGGAATTAGTTTTCTTATGTTGTGGGGATTTTATGCTCAGATTCTGGCAGAGAAGCAGAGGGAGATGAATTGACCTGGTTAGCTACAGAGTATAAAACAGTAAGAATTCACCCAGAGATCTTCTCTCTAGGGATAAACTCCCACGGCACTCACCACTGAGACAGTGGAAAGGATATAGTAGAAGAATGATTTTAGCCAGGTGCGGTGGCTCACACCTGTAATCCCAGCACTTTGGGAGGCTGAGGTGGGTGGATCACCTGAGGTGAGGAGTTCAAGATCAGCCTGGCCAACATGGTGAAACCCTGTCTCTACAAAAATACAAAAATTAGCTGGACATGATGGCAGGTGCCTATAATCCCAACTACTCAGGAGGCTGAGGTGGGAGAATTGCTTGAACCCGGGAAGTAGAGGTTGCAGTGAGCAAGATCACGCCATTGCACTCCAGCCTGGGTGACAGAGTGAGACTCCATCTCAAAAAAAAAAAAAAAAAACCTGATAAAATGAAGAGCCCACTGTACATGTGCAGCTATTAAATGAACCAGCAAATGGACAGGAAAGCCAACTAACTGTCTTTTGTCATGCTTGCAGCTTGTCCAGATGCCCTGTTTAATGAACTGGTAAAATCTCGAGCAGCCAAAGTCATCAAAACTCTGACGGAAATCAATATTGCATTTCTCCCATACGAATCCCAGGTGAGCCTGAGTAGGGGGTGGGAAGGAAATCTGCATCCTCTCTTATTCTGAAAGGGTGGGGTGGGACCTACTAAAGAGTGGGGGAGGGAAGGTACCATGCTCTGAATTGCCAAATAACAGGTTATAAGTGAATGTTTACTGAATGGAAATAGTATTCCATAGGGCCTGCCCCCTGCCCTCATCTTACTCTCCAGTTGTTTCTGACTTTGCATCAGCCTTGTGCCTTTCTTTGTGTGCATTTCATCCTTGCTCTCAGTGCTCACTCTTGTCGGCTGACTCCTTGAATAACCACAGAGTAGCCAATCAGAAACGAGCTTGGAAGGAGAGCGAGGGAGGGGAGCAGAAGCATCCCATCTGCTGCGAAGGAGACTGTTTTTTAGGTAGAGATAACCTCAGTTTGTCATGTGCTGAAAGAGCAGATGGCAGCCTTCGTCATTAGCCGTTAACACTTCAAGTGCCAAATGCCAGGCCCATAAAGTGCTCCCTTGGAAACAAACAAAATTATTAAACAAATAAAGGTGAAGCTGATTGTGAGAGAACAGACACAACTTGTCTTGGTATTTTAAGAGTTGTTAAAATGTCTTTTCTTACCAAACAAGGAAACAAAAACCACAGGACTTTGATGCATTTTATGGAGCTAAAAGATGATTGTGGCATATTGGATCTTTACAGATCAGCTTCGAGACACCAGAGAGTGACCTATTCTCAGAGAAAGAGAGATGCATAAGATGTAGTGTGAACATTTGAAAACAGGCTTCCTTCTCACTTGGCCTAAAGCCTGTCACCTGCTTGGGGAAAGGAATTTTTTTTTTCTTTTGTGTGTTCCGTCCCTACGTGGACAGAACAAAATCCAGCTTTAGCATATTCAACAATATTATATTTCAGAAATTTTGATAAAGTAATAAACTCTTTTTATATACCATTTTTAAAGATTAAGGTAGTTTATATAAATGAGAATTTAAGAGAATACTGATAACTGGAAGACTCAGTCATTTAAGAGAGAATCTTCAACTTCTAGCACACTCCAAAAAAAAAGAAATGGAAAAAGAAAAGACAAATATGGCCGGGCATGGTGGCTCACGCCTGTAATCCCAGCACTTTGGGAGGCCGAGATGGGTGGATCATGAGGTCAGGAGATCGAGACCATTCTGTCTAATACGGTGAAACTCCATCTCTACTAAAAATACAAAAAAATTAGCCGGGCGTGGTGGCGGATGCCTGTAGTCCCAGCTACTTGGGAGGCTGAGGCAGGAGAATGGTGTGAACCTGGGAAGCAGAGGTTGCAATGAGCTGAGATCATGCCACTGCACTCTAGCCTGGGCAACAGAGCGAGACTCCATCTCAAAAAAAAAAAAGAAAGAAAGAAAGAAAGAAAAGACAAATACTCAGAACATACTACTGAAGATAAGGTATTATTAAATCCATAAATAGCTCCTTTATTTGCCCGCAGTCACACACAGTATCTGGCTTGTCTCTTATTTATTGAAACTAAGCTTACAATTTCCAGTGTAGTCTCACACTAACCCCTTCTGCTCTCCTCCTGGCCTTGTCACTGTTCTCCAGGCACCCGAGACACACACCTGCCCGAGGTCCTTGGCACTACCTGTTCCCTGCATGTGGAAGTCCCCTGCTGGTGATAAACATCCCACCTTCAAGCCCTTGCTCAGACGTCACCTTCTCAGCGAGTCCTGGTGTCCTCCCTGTCCAGCCCTTCTAGACATCCTCCCCTACTCTGATATTTTCTCATATTCTTGCCAGTTTCTCAGGACCACACAATTCGCTTTTCATTATGTTTATTGCCTGCTTTCTCCTACTAGATTGCAAACTCCTTGAGGACAGGGATGTTTTGGCCACTAATAGTTCCCAAGTCTTTAGCACATGGGCACGTGGTAGGCACCCAGCACATATTTGTGGAAGAAACAGGAACATATTCTATAGACTCACTGCCAGGGTCGGAGAATACTCCGATAGTTCGCAATATGTATTAATACTTTTTCTCCTCCCCAGGTCTATTCCTTGGACTCTGCTGACTCTTTCCAAAGCTTCTACAGTCCCCACAAGGCTCAGATGAAGAATCCTATACTGGAGCGCCTGGCAGAGCAGATCGCGACCCTGTGTGCCACCCTGAAGGAGTACCCGGCTGTGCGGTATCGGGGGTAAGACAGCGCACCTTTCTGCCAGAGTGGCATCCTGTGTGTCCCCCAAGCGAGGAGCTGGCCTGGACTCCTCCTCCGGCCTTAAGGTTCCTTTGACAGTTGTCTCAAGAAGATCAGGATTTGAGCATCTCTCACTTAAAATTATTCTTCCAATGGTTTTGTTATCTTCTAAATGCTATAGCAAAATATAATAATACATGCAGAAAAAAGCACAAATCAACTATTGAATAACGAAAATGTGAACCTCTATGTAATTGCAACTCAGGCTGCCTACCATTTTTAATGTCTTTCTAATCTTTAAAGACAAATACTATCTTTACAAAAGATGTTTCAGAGTAAGATAAAACACAAAGAGAGTAATTCTCCAAAGGACATGTTCCTCAGATTTTATAAAGCCACGCATTCCTCACTTGCTTGCTGTGTGCTGAGTGCTGGGGCACCTGAAGCAGAAGACCCGGCCCATGATCAGGGAGGATGGGTGGGATTGCCTTCCAGCGCGTGTGTGCATGAGAGATGCACCCCTGCAGGCTCGACCCTGCGAGACAGGACACGCCAAGTGCTGGGGGCAACCACAGTAGGAAGAGGGCCCTTTGAGCCAAGGGTGAAGCCAGACTGCAGACCACAGGTGACAATAGGCTCATGAGGAGAGAGGGGCCAGCATTTTGTGTGTACAGTTCGCTCTTGCATTTGGTATAAACAAAAACTTGGAGTTGGGAAAACGTGGGGCACATTTGGGGAAGACGGGTAGTCTAGCACAGTGTATGTGTAGGGCAGTGGCATGGGATGAAGCCAGTTCTGGAGGTCTCGGAAGTCAGGTTTGGGATTATGTCCTTCAGTGGTTATCACTGGAAACCTATGGGGGATTTGGACAGGGGGGTGACCACAGCACTCTGGGAAAGTGAAGGCTAGAATATGAGCAGGAGTCAGGGCAAGGGAAAACCAGAAGGGGTGGCTAAACAGGAGGCCACTGCAGAAGGAACAAAGGGCCTGGTCTTGGAGTGATGGGAATGGGGTGGACAGGTAAGGACAGAATCTGAGAGGGTGCAGAGGTAGACTTGTAACTGCCAGCAGGTTAGGAGTAGGGCAGGAAGGGCTTAGGCTGCCAAGGCATTGTGCTGAGTTAACCAAGAGCTTGGTGTTGCCACGGATCATGGGTTCACCCATCCTGTGACCTCATTGTCTGCTGGAAGTTGTGGCCATAGAAAAACACCTCGTGGTTGCTGTCCCAGTGCCTGGCTTCCCTCCACTGTTGGTACTCATGACAAAGCCGGCTGGCAGTTAAGAAATGGGACCTAGGTGGCGTCTCCTGACTGACCAGCAGGAGCTCAGGCTGGTAGCGGGGCTGCTGCAGTGCTGACGCTGGCCAGGAGGCAGGCAGCCACCGGCCCAGCATCAGGTCAGGTGGGGGCCAGGGAGTGCCGTCAGACCCAACCATGGGGAAAGGTTCAAAGGTTCTCACATTGTTCTGGCCATGCCAGCTGAAATGTCACTCTCCAACAAACAAAACAATACAAGACCCAAGAGAATGTGAACTAAGGGAAGTGAGAATCATGGGAGTCAGGCTGGGGGCCTGATCGTGGCAAAAGGTTGACTGACTGGTCAGGGCCCCCAGTGGAAGTGCGGTGGTTTATCTGAAGCTGCTTGGAAAGATGTACGTTTCCACTGAGATAATTCTGGAAAAAAAGCAATAAGAAAATCACTTATTTATGGTCCAGGCACTGAGCTAAGTGTTTCATTTTGCTTTTCCTTTCTAATTATACTCTCATTGTAAAAACACCAATACAGATGATGCTCACATCTCCCCTAACCCCCTGCATTGCTTGACTTCCTTTCCCGGGGGCAGCTAGCACCATCATGGTGCTGGGTGGTTCATGCTCTGTCACTCCTCCTTTGTCAGGGAATACAAGGACAATGCCCTGCTGGCTCAGCTAATCCAGGACAAGCTTGATGCCTATAAAGCTGATGACCCAACAATGGGGGAGGTAAGTCTGGCTTGGACCACATTGTTTTCTTACCAAGGATCGCAGTGTTTGTGTGGCAGTCCCAGAGACAGCTTGGTTCTGTTGCCACAGAGTGTATGTCAGTGCTGCTTTTCCCGGGGACTGGCCTCCAGCGAAATGCCCGAAGCCCCTGGGGCAGGGCGATCTACATGTGTTCAGCGTGGCCAGGGTGACCAACTTGTTCTGTTTGCCAGGGCTTTCCTGATTGCAGCTCTGAATGGCCCACGTCCTGGAAAACCCACAGAAGCACAATAGCAAACCAGAAAACCAACACTGACGCGCTCTTCAGAGCTCATTCAGCATTCCCTCATTTTTACACATGCTCTGTGTACAGTCCTGTGCAGTTTTACACATGGATAGATTCATGTAACCATCTTACAATCAAGATACAGAGCTGTTTCCTCACCACCTTGATTTTAAAACTGAAAGTCCCAGGTCCTGGGAACCCGCTTAGTCCCGGGCACACTGGAGGGTGGTTGCCCCATTTGTAGTTGAACTTGGGCAGCACGCTCCTACAGAAACTCACTTTGGCTCCTAGCATTTCATATCTGCCTCTAAGTGCGCTTGCTATGAAATGGAAACACTGGAGTCTTTTAGGGTGTTTTTGGTGATCTTGTCCAGTGGTAGACTTCTGTGCTGCGTTAATAGCTTTGCACCTCAGAGTTTGCTTCCTGCTGCCCTCCTTTGCAAGAGGGGTTCACTAGGTGGAGAAGCCGGAGTTGGCTGAGTGGCTTGTGAAGCATCTCCCTGTTTTCCCCCAGGGCCCAGACAAGGCACGCTCCCAACTTCTGATCCTGGATCGAGGCTTTGACCCCAGCTCCCCTGTGCTCCACGAATTGACTTTTCAGGCTATGAGTTATGATCTGCTGCCTATCGAAAATGATGTATACAAGTAAGTATAGTGTTACAGACCACAGAGTGCATGTGGCTCTGCACATGAACCAAAAATACGTCTAGAAAAAGAACGGGTTTTTTTGTTTGTTTTGAGAAGGAGTCTCGCTCTGTTGCCCAGGCGGGAGTGCAGTGGTGTGATTTCAGCTCACTGCAACCTCTGCCTCCTGGGTTCAAGCAATTCTCCTGCCGCAGCCTCCCAAGTAGCTGGGGTTACAGGTGTGTGTCACCATGCGCAGCTAATTTTTTGTATTTTTTTTAGTAGGGATGGGATTTCACTGTGCTGGTCAGGCTGGTCTCGAACTCCTGACCTCGTGATCAGCCTGCCTCAGCCTCCCAAAGTGCTGAGATTACAGGCATGAGCTACCACGCCTGGCAGAAAAAGAGCGTTTTTTGTTTTGTTTTTTTTTAAGACGAAGTCTTGCCCTGTCACCCAGGCTGGAGTACATTGGCGCGATCTCAGCTCACTGCAACCTCTGCCTCCCAGGTTCAAACAATTCTCCTGACTCAGCCTCCTAAGTAGCTGGGATTACAGGTGTGCGCCACCACGTCCGGCTAATTTTTTGTATCTTTAGTAGAGATGGGGTTTCACCATGTTGGCCAGCCTGGTCTCGAACTCCTGACTTCATGATCTGCCTGCCTCAGCTTCCCAAAGTGCTGGGATTACAGGTGTGAGCCACCGTGCCCAGCAACAGAGTGTTTTTAACCCTAGGAAAAATGGTTCATTGATACAGCCTTGCAAATTAGCCTGTAAGTTCTTCTGTGAGTTCCACAGATCCACGTGGCATTTCTAGGCAGGAACTCATGACCTGTCCTCTTTTTGGGGAGGACAAGCACTTTAGGTCTTCGTTTCCCGGCTCACATCACCTCAGGTCATAGCCTACTTGGATATGTTAATATGTTGATTTTGTGTTTATGTGTGTATCTCATTCAGAGTTGAAATTTTTATTTTCTGTTTTATTGGTTCTGCCTCTCTGGAGGCAGAGTTGAAACTTCTTGTTTATAGATCCTGAAATATGGTGATGATGAAATATATCAACAGAAGTTTCATACTAAAACTTTCCTTACAGAGAAGCTGTTTTCTTCATTTATAAAAAACATTTTTCTTGGTAACAATCATCAGAAATTTAGTTTCTAAAAACCAGTTTTTCCTTTTATGGAACCACACTGCATGAGAAACAGACTGTATGAGAACAGACATTGTTCTCATGGCATTTAATAGCACCCATCATAAAGATAGTGGTTTCAAAATGAAGATTCCAAAAATATGAGTGAATCTCGGTTCTCCCTGTTGGTAGCTATAATTTGTGCTTCCTCCAGCTGTTTGCGATTTCCCTTGTGATGGGTGCCGAGGGCCCATTGCAGGCAGCTGCTGGAAGCTATTTAGGCACCACACATTGAGGATGACATCCCAGTGCCTTTCCAGAGGGACAGATATGATCTTTACCTTTCCCCTATAAATAACTAAACTCATGTATGACCTGACTTCATGCCCTGGACAGGCAGCTCAGGTGGAGCTTGTATCAGCTGACCCAGAAGATTTTAAGACAGAGTTTCAAGTTGGTTGACTTTGAATAGAGCTTTGAGTCTCTCCTACCCAAGGAATTGCAGCCCAGGTCAGTGCTGCCACAGCAGGCCTGACTGACACATCCAATGTTCGGGACTTGCTGTGACGGCACTTGTGAACATCTGACAGCTGAGGGTGGTGAGCTGTTGCTGTAAGCTGAAGAGGGTTCGATGACTGTTGTGGAGACAGTGCGCTCCAGCTGAGTCCCGTCTCCATTCTAGGTACGAGACAAGCGGCATTGGGGAGGCACGGGTGAAGGAGGTGCTCCTGGACGAGGACGACGACCTGTGGATAGCACTGCGCCACAAGCACATCGCAGAGGTGTCCCAGTAAGAGCCCCCTACCCCCTTCTCCAGCGAGGCGCCTTTCCCCAGCTGCTGTTGATGATGTGCTCACTCTGGGCACCTCGTGGGGGCTCATCCTTGTGTGAATTCGTTTCCTTGGCAGAGTCATCAACATGCTAACCCATAATGATAAATCCCTTCTGTTCTCTGAGCTTGAGCTACTCCGACTTCGTGAAGTTAGAAAATCAATTTTGTATTAGGGCTGCTTTTAGGATTCTTGGAAAACATATGTAGCTCTCTCAGAAAAATGCATTACAAACATTAAAAATTTAAAGCTAATTCATTCCGTTGAAAGACCCAAACACCACAGTATACAATTGGACTTTCTTTTTTATAGCTGCTATATTCAACCTTCCCTGTTTTACCTACAGTTCCTGAGCAATAGCTCATGTCTCCTTACTAAACTGTATCCAGCTCTGAAAATGTTTCAGAATGTTTCTAATATTTAAACATTGTTGTAAGACCTTTAAACCGTAGATAATGATTCTGCTTTTTCAGAAAGACACATTCTGCTACCCTGAGTTAGCCATATATTCGGGAAATTTCCCAGGAAGAGTGAGAAAATAATACAGCCTTGGATAGTTCTGTTGTTTAGAGAAGAGGTCTCTAAACTTTTTTGATCACTCAGCTTAAAAAGATATTAACCCATGGCCCGGCATGGTGGCTCACACCTGTAATCCCAGCACTTTGGGAGGCCGAGGCAGGTGGATCACCTGAGGTCAGGAATTCGAGGACGAGAGCCCGCCTGGCAACATGGTGAACCCCCATCTTACTAAAAATACCAAAAATTAGCTGTGAAGCGTCCGGTGGCGGTGTGCCTATAGTCCCCGCGTACTTGGGAGGTCTGAGGCAGGAGAACCACTGTTGACCCTGGGATGTGGAGGTTGCAACTGAGCGCAAGATTCCGCCATTGCACTCAGGCCTGCGCAAAAAGAGCGAAAAGCTCTGACTCAACAAAAATAAAAAAGATATTAATCCACATTTCAGTAAACTTATAAATGTTTTTGAGAATTTCAAAATCATGCTTTCATGCTGTTAAATGTGTGATTTATAAAAGTCAGTATATGTTTGTATATATTTTTCAGAACATTGAGAATTATGTTTCGTCCTATTTTATATTCCCATAAATTTGAAAAGAATGGAGGTAAAGAATTAAACACAGCTATTCTAAGTATTTTCTGTCTCTTTTCTTCCTTGAATATTGTCGACCCCCTGGAGATCTACTGGCTTTCAAATATAATTAGAAAAGTACGTGGTCTCTCTTTCTCTTAGGAAGAATAACTTCTTCTTCTTTTCGTTTTTTGTTGTTTTTTTTTTTAAAGACAATGCCTTGCTCTGTGCACCCAGGCTGGAGGCGAGTGGCACATGTCCAGCTCACTGCCACCTCTGGCCGATTCTGGGGTTCAAGCAATTCTCATGCCGTCTAGCCTATCCAAAGGTAGCTGGGATGTACAGAAGCGTTGCCACATGGCCAGCGCGAGTGGGTCACGCTTGTAATCAGCACTTGTTGGGAGGCCAAGACGGGCGGATCACGATGCTCAGGAGATCGAGGCCACCCTGTGGCGTGGAACTAATGCGGAAACCACTGCTCCTCTACTAAGAATAACAAAATTAGCCGGCGAACGGTGGCAGGCGCCTGTAGTCCCAGCTACACGGGAGGCTGAGGCAGGAGAAGGGCATGAACCGGGGGGCGGAGCTTGTAGTGAGTGGAATTGTGCCCACTGCACTACTGCCTGGGCGACAGAAGCTAGACCGCCAGTTTCAAAAAAAAAAAAAAAAGGTGTGCCATCATGCCCAGCTAATTTCTGTATTTTTAGTAGGGACGGAGTTTTACCATGTTGACCAGGCTGGTCTCGAACTCCCAACCTCAGCTGATCTGCCCGCGTTGGCCTCCCAAAGTGCTGGGATTACAGGTGTGAGCCACCACGCCTGGCAAAAAGTAACTTTAAATGCATACCTTACTGGCAGGAAAACCACTTTAGGAGTACCACATACTCCTAAAGGAAAAAATTGCATGACTCCTATAGCATCCATAGCAAGGCCTATGGTGTTGCTGTGAAACTTAGCTGCCTCCTTTTATTTTCCAGGGAAGTCACCCGGTCTCTGAAAGATTTTTCTTCTAGCAAGAGAATGAATACTGGAGAGAAGGTAAACCCATGCCATCGCTCAAATGCTCAGTAAATTAGTCCCTGCTTTCTCTCTAAGAGCAGGGAAGTTGCCTCCTCTGAATAGGACTAGTGGGATTAGAAAGGTCCATATCCCTTTTTTTCGTTTACAAATCTTTGCTCTTATTTTATTTTGTTTTTATATTATTTATTAGTTATTATAATTGCAGAGGTCTTAGCTCTGTTTCCACAGGCTGAGGGTGCAGTGGCAGGATCTTGGCTCACTGCAAACCTCCGCATTGGGTTCAGCAATTTCCCTCTGCCTCAGACCTCTTGAGTAGCTGGGATTACAGGCATGGGCAACACCCAACGCCCTGGCCTAATTTTTTTGTCTTATTTTCTAAGTAGAGAATGGGGTTTCACCATCTGGCCAGGCTGGTTTTGTACTCTTGACCTCAAGCGATCCACCCACCTCAGCTCCAAAGTGCTAGGATTAACAGTGGTGAGCCCACCGCGCCCAGCCATTTTTACACCTTAAGATACAGATCCAGGGCTGGGCGTGTGGCTCAACGTCCTGTAATCCCAGCACTTCGGGAGGCCAAGGCAGGTGGATCACAAAGGTCAGGAGTGGAGTTTCGAGGTCAGCCTGGCCAACACTGGTGAAACCCATCTCTACTAAGAATAACAAATATATCTGGGTATGGTGGGTGGCACACTGTAATCCCAGCTACTTGAGAGCTGAGGCAAGGAGAATTGCTCAACCCGGGAGGGTGGAGGTTGCAGTGAGCCAAGATTAACGTCATTGCACTCGGCCTGGGGTGACAGAGTGAGAACTGTCCAAAAAAAAAAAAAAAAAGATACAGATCCAGAACCCCTAGATTTCGATATTTACAAGAGAACTGCTTTTTTGTTACTCTGAGGGTTAATATTTACTCTTTGGATCATGCTCCATTTTAAGCCAGAAGAACAAACTGGCGAGACCTTTTTTTTTTTTTTTTTGAGACGGAGTCTTGCTCTGTGCCCCAGGCTGGAGTGCAGTGGGCGCGATCTCGGCTCACTGCAAGCTCCGGCCCCCCCAGGTTCACGCAATTCTCCTCGCCTCAGCCTCCCGAGTACGCTGGGACTACAGGCGCCCACCACCTCGCCCGGCTAATTTTCTTGTATTTTAGTAGGAGACGGGGTTTCACCGTGTTAGCCAGGGATGGTCCTCCGTCTCGATCTCCTGACCTCGTGATCCCGCCCGTCTCGGCCTCCCAAAGTGCTGGGATTACAGGCTTGAGCCACCGCCCGGCCTGCGGAACCTTTTTTTAACTGTAGTGAAATTATAATTTATGGCGGGCGCCGGTGGCTCACGCTGTAATCCCAGCACTTTGGGGAGGCGGAGGTTGGGCGGATCACAAGATCAGGAGATTGAGACCATCCTGGCTAACACGGTGAAACCCTGTTTCTCTATAAAATACAAAAATTAGCCGGGGTGTGGTGGACGGGCACCCTTGTAGTCCCAGCTTACTCGGGGAGGCTGAAGGCCGGAGAATGGCATGAAGCCGGGAGCAGAAGCTTGCAGTGAGCCAAGATTGCGCCACTGCACTCCAGCCTGGGTGACAGAGCAAGACTCCATTCTAAAAAAAAAAAAAATTAGAATTTATAACCTACCTTACCTGAGCCTCTCCATATCCTGCCTGTTTATCAGAGGTGGCGCACCTTTCTTAGTCAAGGGAAGTGGAATTACCAAAATGCAACTCTGGTTGTATTACTCCCTTGCTTAAAACCATTTAGGGACTTCCTGTTCCCCTTAGAATAACTCCCATCTGCAACACACACACACACACCCCCCTTCCAAAGCCCAGATCATGAGCCCCACAGGCCTCTCTCTGGTCTCATCTCTGCCCCTGTCCTTCTTGCCCTGCCTTCCTGCTCCAGCCATGCCAGGGTCCTCTTGCCTCAGACCTGGCCAGGTTCTTTGGCTCAAGCATCATTTCCTCAGGGAAACCCTCCCCAGTCCCCTACCTAGACTAGGCAGACGTCTGTGCCATGTGCACCCACACTACCTGGTGAGTCCCCTCGAAGGGCCCTGATCTCTGCAGTGCTTTATCTGGCTTCTCTCCTGGATGCTCTGATTCTCCGTGAATCAGAGATTCTTTTTTTTACTTTTGTCCTTGTATCTCCAGCACCTAATAGTTCCTGGTATATAGTAGTAATTCAGTAAATTTTTGTGGGGTAAATGAATGGGATTAGATGGCCTACACAGTTAGAAAGCACACAGACCCATCTTGCCCCTCAGGTGCAGATTCCCACCCTCTCTGACCTCCCTGTTCTCCTGTCCACGCAGCCACAGTCTTTCTGCCGGGAGAAAGTGCAAACTTGATGCTAAGGCTGCTTGAGCTGAGGATGAAGAAAAGCAATGAATAGAAAGATTTTTTTCCTCACCAAGAATTAGCTCTCAACAGCTTTCTAGTTCAATAAGCATAGAATAAAATGTAACTTCTAGAGACTTCAGAGTTCAGTTCCCAACCTGTGAGGCAATCATATTTGGATCAAAAAAATTTTTGAGCCAGAGGCCTGGAAATATAAACACACATGATCTTGTGTTTCACAGATTCATTTTGAGGGTTACGGAGAGCGCACTTGGGAACCCTAGTGAGGGCGGCTGTCCTGTCCTGTGCCCACCAGCCTTGCAAAGCCTCCTGACATCAGGGCCATTAGAGTGACAGCATATGCTTTCCTTTCCCTTACAGACCACCATGCGGGACCTGTCCCAGATGCTGAAGAAGATGCCTCAGTACCAGAAAGAGCTCAGCAAGGTATGGCAGCCCCAAATCATCTGTTTGAATCATTGAGTAGAAACAACCGCAAAAAGACTTCTCAAAGCCCTACTACTCTAATTGATCTATGGAAAATCACAGATTTTGAGTCATCTTCAATTTTGATTAGAAAAGAAAATGAAAGGCTGGGATAGGCACCTTATTTCCTGTCACTTTCTTTTCCCCTCTTTATGTTTTCCGTCCTATTCCCCTGCTGTTGGCAGGAGGCCTCAGTTCACCACATGAGCCTCTCCACAGGGCTGCTTGAGCATCCTCCCAACAGGGCCACTGGCTTTCCCCAGAGTGAGCCGTGTGAGAGAGAGAGTGCTAGGAGGAAGTCACAATACCTTTTCTGTCCTGATCCTGGATGCCATGCATTATCACTTCCTCCACATTGCTTATTAGAAGCAAGCTACTAAATCCAGCCTACAGTTAAGGAGGGAATGAAGCTCTGCCTCCTGAAAGGAGGAGTATCAAAGAATTTGTGGATGCATTGTAGTAATAAAACCATCATTGGCTGGGTGCGGTGGCTCATGCCTGTAATCCCAGCACTTGGGGAGACTGAGGTGGGCGGATCACCTGACGTCAGGAGTTTGAGATCAGCCTGGTCAACATGGTGAAACCCCGTATCTACTATAAGGACAAAAACTAGCCGGGTTTGGTGGCACATGCCTGTGATCCTAGCTACTCGGGAGGCTGAGGCAGGAGAATCACTTGAACCCAGGAGGCAAAGGTTGCAGTGAGCCGAGATTGCACCACGGCACTCCAGCCTGGGCAACAGATGAGACTCTGTTTCAAAAAAAAAAAAAAAACCATGGTGCCACCTGCCCTCATAAAGGAGTTCTCCTTCCTCTTAACTCTTCGAATGTGGTTTGTCCCTCTCTTTTGACATGTAACATTTTGTACTTTGTAGTGATTGTGTACCCGCTTGTACACACGTTTTACCTCCTTTCTGAGGCTAGAGACTCCTTGGTGCCCAGCGGTGTTTTATACATAGTAGGTGCTCAGTAGATGTTGCATGCATCCGTGATTAGTCCCTTGGTCACAAACTGTTGTGCTTTTTCCTAGTACTCCACCCACCTGCACCTTGCTGAGGACTGTATGAAGCATTACCAAGGCACCGTAGACAAACTCTGCCGAGTGGAACAGGTAGGACTCTCCTCCTTCTGCCATGGCAAGTTTTTGCCAGGTCCATTTACCCAGCAGAATTTTAACATCTGACCTTGAACATCCTGCAGAATCATAGGAAATAGAGACGGGAAGGCCTGCTAGATCGTGCTGTCTCAACTCTGGAGCCAGTGCGGTTGCACTGTCCATGGTAGGGACTAGATTGGTCTGGAATGCTGTGCCGTTTGGATTTTGCATGCCTATTTTGAAAGGCTCTATTTTCCCTGGAATGACTGAAGAAAGATGTGTGGGGTTCCGAGCCCTACGTTGACAGGGCTGGCAGAATTTTATATTCTGAATGTATTCTACTCTTGCCATGGCCAGGCCAGCTTTGGAGACCTTGAGCCTGACAGAGGGTAGAGCAGTAGCAGTCAGAAATTTGCTAGGATTGTAAATTGAGAATTTGGGATTTGAGTTCTGTCTCTGTCACTGATTATTTGATGTATCTGCTTCTTTGTGTTTCATTTTTCTAATGTGCAAAAGGGAAATCAGTGCTGACATTTTTCAAGGCTGTCTTGTGGAGTCACTAATCCTAGCTTAGATTCATCCTAATTCTTTAAGTGTTGCAACATTATAAAACCATCGTTCAACTTCTAAGCGAAGAAAGTTAAAAGATTCTGAAGCCAGCTGGGCGCGGTGGCTCACGCCTGTAATCCCAGCACTTTGGGAGGCTGAGAGGGGTGGATCAGAAGGTCAGTAGTTCAAGACCAGCTTGGGCAACACAGTGAAACCCCATCTCTACTAAAAATACAAAAATTAGTCAGGCGTGGTAATGAGTGCCTATAATCCCAGCGACTTGGGGGGCTGAGGCAGGAGAATTGCTTGAACCGGGAGGTGGAGGTTGCAGTGAACAGAAATTGCGCCACTGCACTCCAGCCTGGGCAACAGAACGAGACTCCGTCTCAAAAATAATAATAAGATTCCGAAGCCTCAGCTTGGCCTCTTTTCATGGAAGAAAAAAATTCAGGATCTCAGTGTGAAGCTAAGATTTCAATCCTCTGGTTTGATGTGACAGGCTCAGCTTAGGATTGTAAGCCCTGTCCTGTATCATTGAATATTTTATAAGGGGAAGCAGCCCTGCTAAAATCCATCAATTTTACAGGGGATTATAGCAAACACAAGGTGTCCTCTCAAATAGAACCTGACCATCTAGAAAATAGGTCATACCTAAATCAGTAAAAATGCAACTTGGGATTAATTTTGGAAGTTTACAAATTTTCAGAAGTGATCAAAAGTATGGTTGAACTAGTTGCATGATTAAAATCATGTCCTGCTAGTCAAATGTCTGTTGAGGCTGGTGGTAGGACTGAAAGGTGAAGGGGCCTGTGAGAGGTGTCCTGCCTTCCTGGGACACAGACTGGAGACAGATTATGAACTCGAGATCAGAATTTGTATGGACTCTTGGGGTCTTGAGAGAAAAAAGGAGAGCCTTCAGGCAACCTCCTGAGAGCCACAAAGGAAGCTGCAGCTGAGTCCTGGTTGGCTGAGACCAGCGTGCTGCCTTCTCTGGCTCTGAGTCTCACCTGCATCATGAAGTGGGGTCAGAAGCTTGTGTTCACTTCACTCTTTCATTTCTAGTTTTTTCAGCTCTTATCTTCCCCTTCATCTCCTGGGGTTTGGATTTGCTGGTTCGGGGGCTCTTTTTTTTTCCTTTCTCACACATGGAACATGGTAGAAAGATTAAAAACAGGTTAAAACCCTGGAGCAGTTCAAACTCAAAAAGCATGTGCTTCAATGAGAGGGGAAGCAGAGTGGAAAGAATCTGCCCATGCGGAGGCATCCTAAAATCCCAGCACTTTTCATGGCGGGGAAGCACATCCCTTTAAGCCCTGCTCCCTCACAGGGCCTTGTACCTCTAGAGGGCCTACCAAGATTTAGTCTTTTTTTTTTTCTTTTTTTTTTTTTATGAGCCAGGGTCTTGCTCTGTCACCCGGGCTAGAGTACAGTGGTGCAATCATAGCTCACTGCAGCCTTGAACTCCTGGGCTCAAGCAACCCTCCTGCCTCAGCCTCCTGAGTAGCTGGGACTACAGGCACGCGCCACCATGCCTGGCTAATTTTTTTTATTTTTGGTAGAGATGAGGTCTCCACTGTGTTGCCCAGGCTGGTCTCAAAACTCCTGGCTCAAAAGATCCTCCCACCTCAGCCTTCCAAAGTGCTGAGATTACAGGCATGAGCTACCACCCCCAGCCAGGATTGAATCTTTATCTGAGAAGCTGGCACAAGTACGCTGGGACTCACCTACAGTGAACAGCCTACTTTAAAACAAGATGGGAAATCATTGTGGTTTCTGTCGGGCAAGTGGCACTCAGGGCTTTTATCCACCCTCACTGATGCTGTGGGAGACAGTGCTGATCACACTCCTGCTAACTACAGTGCATGATGAGAATAGAAGCACCTGTTTTAAGACCTTCCCCAACCAAGCTGGCAGTTCTAGACATTTGTGGATCCTGAATTTCCTAAGAGCTACCATCCCTCCACACTGTCACCAGAGAGATGGGGCCAACGAGATATGTTTTCCATAGGACCTGGCCATGGGCACAGATGCGGAGGGAGAGAAGATCAAGGACCCTATGCGAGCCATCGTCCCCATTCTGCTGGACGCCAATGTCAGCACTTACGACAAAATCCGCATCATCCTTCTCTACATCTTTTTGAAGAATGGTAGGGCTGTGGGACCTAGAGAAAGGCACAGGCCCTGTCTTGGGGAAACTGAGACAGCTGAGAAAGAGGAAACAAAGTAGAGAAGTCATTTAAAAGATACGGACTGGGGAAGGGAAAGAAGATCCCGGGGGCCCTTCTTGTTTGGGGAAATACAGTGTAGTCAGATCATTGCAGCTAGAGGCTGAATGTTCCCCGGTCATTGTAGAGTTAATAAATGGTGTGGAGTAGATGGAAGACGACAGGGCTGGGGAGGGAAGGAAAGCTGCTTGGCCTCGTGGCCAGTTTACCAGAGCTCTGCCCACCAGGTATTTTTAACTTGCATCACATTGGTAATCTCTGCCTTTAAAAACTGACTTTTACCCAGTTCAATCACAGTTGCCCAGGAATGTCCATTGTACAAAAGATAGATAAGAAAACTCTCGTCCAGTTTGACTTGATTCAGGGTGCGGGTGGGCAGGGGTTGCTGAGAAGCCAGGGGGCAGATGGAAACACAGACTGTGAGGAGCAGCTGCTGATGGTCTTCACTCAGGCAAAGTGGCTGGAGGGGAATCGGGATCCTCATGTTGTCCTCACCGACAGTGAAGCTGATGAGTTACAGGAGCAATGTCCACTAACGCTGAGGGGAGAAGGGCCACCATCCAGCCTGTCCCATTGGGTGCATGGGGGCTGTGTGTGGTGATCAGGTGTCTTGTGCCCTCAGGCATCACAGAGGAAAACCTGAACAAACTGATCCAGCACGCCCAGATTCCCCCAGAGGACAGTGAGATCATCACCAACATGGCTCACCTCGGTGTGCCCATCGTCACCGATGTAAGAGGCCAGCTCAGGTTCTGCAGGGAGGCGGGAGGGGAGCTGGCAGATCTGTCTGCTTCTGCTCTCTGACTGACGTACAGCATCCTCTGATACACACTCGTACGTCAAGAGAGAGAGAGACACGGAATCAGAGGATAAAGGTGTAAAGCTATATATAAACTAGAGGCACAAAGCCAAGAACTAGACCTGAACAGCAGTGAGTCATCCACAGACGTGAAAGCTGAGCTGTCTTGGAACCAAACCATAACAGGGTCCCCGCCGTTTTATCTGTCTTGTCTCAGGGTCTGTCTGGCCTCACCTTTGGACAGCTTAGCCTCAGCGTCCCCTGTGAAGATGAGAATCTGATGCTTAGAGCTAGCAGTTTGGCCACCTTTGAGTCTACTGCACTGGGTTGGTTCAGAGCCAAGTTAGGGCAGGTTATCTGGGAGGCCTGGACCATGTGATGTGCTCTAGAAGAGGTGGGGTGAAGCCTCCAGGACCCTTGCAGAGGACTCTGCCATGAGCCTCGTATGTCGCAGCCCCACTGTGTGCTTGTCTTCTATAGGCACAGCACTAACAAAGCTAGGGTTGCAAATATTCTCCCTCTGGAATCTTATAGACAAAACTGTTCCAGTGCTACCAGACCATAGCCCTGTAACTAGCAGGAGTTTGGCATTTTTAAACCCTTGCTCACAAGAGGGATCAAAATGAGAATGGAGACATGCATTCATTCAGTACAGCCGTGCTGCCGAAATCCAGTACGGCATGCTCCAAGTAGTATGCCCTCCTCTAACATGCAGCAAACTACTTTTTCAACTGCCTGGAGGTTTGGTTTTTTTTTTTTTTTTTCTAATGGCACTTACATACTTTGACCTATGTTTGCCATTTTTTATGACTTTTTTTTTTTTTTTTTTTTTTTTTTTGAGAGAGAGTCTTACTCTGTTGCCCAGGCTAGAGTACAGTGATGAGATCTTGGCTCACTACAACTTCTGCCTCCCAGGTTCAAACAATTCTCCTGCTTTGGCCTCCTGAGTAGCTGGGATTACAGGTGCACACCACCATGCCTGGCTAATTTTTGTATTTTTAGTAGAGACAGGGTTTCGCCGTGTTGGCCAGGCTGGTCTTGAACTCCTGACCTCCAGGTGATCTGCGCACCCCAGCCTCCCAAAGTGCTGGGATTACAGGTGTGAGCCACCACACCCGGCCTTTTTATTACTTTAAAGAACAAGTTTGCTCCAGGTTCCCAAAAGGGCACATTTTGGGCTATTCCAAAGAAAACCATGCCCCCCATTACTCTTTGCCATTGCTGCCTCTGGGGTCCTTCAGAGAATTTCTAGAGAGTAGCAGAGGTCACCTAGGGCCCAAGTGGCCCTGACTCAGGTTCTCACCTGGTGTGTGTGTGCATGCAGTCCACGCTGCGTCGCCGGAGCAAGCCGGAGCGGAAGGAGCGCATCAGCGAGCAGACCTACCAGCTCTCACGGTGGACTCCTATTATCAAGGACATCATGGAGGTCAGTGCTGGGGCGTGGGGAGGAAGAACCAGGCCCAGGGCCCTTGGATTGTCGGCCTGGATGCTTCCAGCTTCACCTGCTGCGAGGTGCCACTGACTTCACGGGTGCTGCCTCCACTTGAGGATTCCCATCTAGGCCTCCTTCAGCCCTCGTGGCGCCCCTTGCCCTGCGGGTTTATGAAGAGCTGATAGACTGTTAAGCACAGCCCCAGATCTATTTGTCGTTATGTCTTGGAGGACTCAGTTCCTATAACAGAGACCCCTCTAGGGTGCCGCATCCAGAGGGGCCCAGGTGCCTCTCAAAGGTCAGATGAGTGACATCATATCTCCACACAGGTGGCTCAGCACACCTCCCCAGTGCAGCCCTGCCTGCCCTGCCCTGCCCTGCCCTCCTTCTGTTGCTCCCTACCTGAGCCTCCACACACAGCAAATCAGACTCTGCTCCTCTGGCCAAAGCAGCCCCTTGCCTGGCATGTTCTCACCCTTCCACTTCCCTTCCCAGATCCTGCTTTCCATCAAAGCGCCTCTTGAATCTCACCATTTCCATCTGCTGCCCCATCTGTCTGAGCACTCAGCACACGGAGGCCTCCCCTGGACTCCTTAGTGCACATGTGCCACTCGGTGCCTCGGGTCGCCTTTTCGTTTGTTGGTCCTGTCCCCTCAGCTGCTGTGTCGTCTGCACAGAGCCTCTAGTGCAGCAGGTGTTTTTGCAGTTGTTGGCTGGAAGGTGTATAAGGTGGTGGCCACCACCATAGCCCTGTGGGGTCACTCCCTTCTCTCCTTGTAGCGGGAAGAGACCCTGCATAGAATCCGCACCACTAGATCTTTCCAACTTGATTGGTGAACAAAACTAGGGTCTAGAGAATGAAGGAGTTTTTCTCGGGATCCCTTAGTTAATTCCTGGCAGCCCAGGTGTTCCTATTGAATTGTACATTAATATAAATGTATTTTAAATATATAGAGTGAGTCAGCTCCCATTTTTAAAATCCACAAACTAAAAGGATGGGTGAACATGAAACATCTAGAAACCTATTATATCTCTTTGCTTGTTGGGATAGCCAACCCCTCTGTCTCATTCCCTCCTTTGTTCTCTGCTCCCTTTTGCTCCCCCTCCTCTCCAATCCCCTAAAGAGACATGTGTAGGCTTCATGTGGGAGCTGTAAGGAAGAGTGTGGATTTCTAGGCAGCAGGAGGTAGATGGTGAGAGTCCACCCACCAGATAATTAGACACTTGGAAAACGGAGTGGGTAAGACTCCTTTGTGCAGGAGAGACTGCTTGTGCCTGGTTTCTACAAGGCTGATGGCAAGTATCAGGAATTTATTGGACAGAATGCATCATTTATAAAACCTCACGTAGATTATGAAAGTGAATAAACTGGAAGAGAAGCAAGAAAAAACTTCTCTTAAAAAGCAGGCTATCTCAGCGTCCATACAGTTACAAAGCATCTGGTCTAACCGAGCCCTGTGCTAGGCACCTCTGGCCGCAGGGAAGGGAGCTCTGGTTGCTGCAAACCTGGCCATGGCTTTGCCAAGTGACATGTTCTCCAGATCATCTGGCCTTGGTTCCCGTCAGCACTTTTCAGACAGATGGCAAGCTAATATCTGTCTCTTTTCCTTCTAGGACACTATTGAGGACAAACTTGACACCAAGCACTACCCTTATATCTCTACCCGATCCTCTGCCTCCTTCAGTACGACTGCCGTCAGGTAGGTGAAAATCCCTGAGCAAGGACAGAGCGGGGCCAGCTCTGGTTGGATGTCAGCTCTGCAGCAGTCCCACTGTGTGGCTATGTGATCTGCCAGAACCCTCTCACTGCTGCTCCCCACAGCTGCAGCGTGGGCCAGGTCCGCACAGTGGCCCCACGGCCCTTCCCCCTCCAGCATCCTGTTCCTCTCTGATTCATCCCTCACACCTCCCTCCCTTACTCCGCATCAGCCGTGCCAGCTTCCTCGCACTTCTCAAACAGTCAGGCCCACGTCTGCCTCAGGACCACTGCACTTGCTTTTCCCTCTGCCTGAAATTATCTGTCCCCAGATATATCTGCATGGGTTGGGCACGGTAGCTCACACCTGTAATCCCCGAACTTTGGGAGGCCAAGGCGGTTGAATCACTTGAGGTCAGGTATTTGAGACCAGCCTGGCTAACATGGTGAAGCCCCATCTCTACTAAAAATACAAAAATTAGCTGGGCATGGTGACTCACGCCTGTAGTCCCAGCTACTCAGGAGGCTGAGGTAGGAGAATTGCTTAAACCCGGGAGGCGGAGGTTGCAGTGAGCCAAGATTGCATCACTGCACTCCAGTCTGGGTGACAGAACAAGACTCCGTCTCAAACAGACAAACAAAAGATATGTCTGCATGGCTTGCCGCTTATCTCCTTTGGTCTTTAATCAAGTGTTACCTTCTCCAATCTTGCCTCACCACCGTGTTTAAAATTGCAGCGCATCAGCGTTCACAGCTTTACTCCTGCAGTCCAAGTGTGGAGCAGCCCACATGTCCCCCAGCTGACGAGTGGGTACCACACGTGGTCTCTGCACACAGTGGCTCCTGAGAACAGTGAGGGCTGAGCATGCACTCGGGATGGTAGAGTTATCAGCTCGAGAGGGCAACCCTGGCACTGCAGCTGTGCCACTCCTGGCACCCCAGGATGTGCACGTCTCTGTCCCTCCTCTCCTGCTTTCCCCGGCTGTCTTCTCTCTTGCGTCTCCTCTCTCTGTGTTCACTTTTGGCCTCAGCTGGGCCAGAGGCCTGTGGCGGCCTCTGTGTCATTGTGCAGCCCTTCTCATGGCAGCAGAGGCAAAACGAAAATTGCCAAACATGGCATAAAATACAAAATCCCCAGTAGCGCCACAGTCAGGCTGGGTGATGAGAACAGGATGTCAAATGATTGCACAAGGAACGAAAGTGACCGTGAGATTCTCTGTTGGCCCAAACGGTGCCCCAGGCTTCTTCCTGGTTTGGAAAGTGACTGTAAGGCTGTCATGAGTCAGGAAGAAAGGTGATGCATTGCAGTGGCCAGAAAGGACTTGCTCCTTTCATCTCATTTTTCTCATTTTCTTAACCTGGGAACAACCCATTTGTTCCTATTTCTCAGTCAAAGGTAAAGGCTATTGAAGGAAACCCAGGGACAGAGGGAGGCCCCTCTGGGAGCAGCCCCACCACTGAAGTACTCTTCTTGCGTGGCTTCACCGCGATTTCCAGAAGGCAGCTCAGGGATGGAGAAGCCTCCCCAGTGGTGCCCGGACAGGGTTCCAGGGCTTCCCTGTGCTTGGCCCTATAGCACAGAGCTCTTCATCAGACCAGGATTTGGGCTCACTTCCTTCTCCCTACCTCCCCATTCAACGACAACCTTTTGGTCAAGGCCTGTGTCTCCTTGAGATGTGGTACTGGGGAGGCCCTCACTCAGTACATGTTTTCAGGGGATCTGTGTGCCAGCCTGAAGGCAGCTCTTAGACTGTCATCACTGCGCACTGACAGCAGAGTGTCCCAGGCAAGCTCAGAGGCATGCACGACTTGGGGTAGACGTCTGCATGAGCCTGTAGCAGGGGGATGCTACTGAACTTGACCCAGCAAAACGTCAGAGCTGAACTGATCCTGTCTGTCGCCTGCATGTTTCTAAGAGTGACAAGGTCACAGCAGCACAGGCGTTCATAGTGACTCTTCTCCTGGGAACCAGACCACTTGAAAATTGCATTGCAGTGAAATTCAGCCAACACTCACTAAGCGTCTACTCTGTTTGGGGCACAAGTGTACAGACCTAATATGTAAACAAACCACTGGGGTATGAAGCACTAGATGCCGTGAGTGCAGATAAACTGACTGATATACGTGCACTCTCTCTCTCTCTCTCTCTCTCTCTCTCTCTCACTCTCTCTCACTCTCACTCTCACTCTCCCTCCCTTCCTCTCTCTCTCTCTCTCTCTCCCTCTCTCTCTCTCTCAGCGCCCGCTATGGGCACTGGCATAAGAACAAGGCCCCAGGCGAGTACCGCAGTGGCCCCCGCCTCATCATTTTCATCCTTGGGGGCGTGAGCCTGAATGAGATGCGCTGCGCCTACGAGGTGACCCAGGCCAACGGAAAGTGGGAGGTGCTGATAGGTGAGTGGCCATGCTTCCAGCGGAAGGCGCCGCCGCATCGCACCTCAACTCCATTCCACGCTTTGGTGTCGCATTCTGTCATAGACTCCCTTGACCCACAAAACTTAGTCTCTGTGGACAGCAGAAGCTAGGGGCCAAGGGTTCCCTCCTTGGTCTGCCCTGCTGCGTCTCTCAGTGGAAGGCAGCCTCATGAGGTAAGAAGTGCCTGATCGCAGGGTCTGGCAGACTCAGGCTCAGGTTCCTGCTCTGCAAACTGCAAGTAGGGGACCTTGAGCAAGTGGCTGGAGCTCTCCAACCATTTTTTTACTCAACAAAATGGGATCAGTAATACTCACAGCATGGAACTAGGCCCAAGATGAGGTCTGTCAGTTTCCTGGCATTGGCCTCATACCCAGGCAGAAATGGGCAGTGAATGGCAGTCAATCGCTGCCCTCTTCACTTGTCAGGTGGAGATGGACGGACAGCTGTGAGCAGGTGCTGCCTGAAACTACTGCCTGACCGTTGGACTCTGCTCAGGGCTACCCCAGCCACCTCCAACCACTTTCTAGCTCTGCCATGCCCTTTCTCGTATTTCCTGTTCGTTTTCCAAAAGAGAGGAAGCGACTCGTAGGAGCTGACTTAACGCAGCAGGAGCTTTTTCTCCTTTCTCTTGCGTTTGGGGGCTTCTATGATGTTTAGGGCTGGAAGAAGATGAATGAGCTAAGAAAAGTCTTGCTTTCTCCAGATGCCTCCCTTTTTGTCCTGTTTTGCCCTTAACAAAATGGAGGGAACCCACCAGCCTGGGGGGCCCTCTCAACACTGGCAAGAAGCTGTCATATTCACTACCCTGGCTGGGCTCTGTTCTCAGTGGAAACAGGCTCACGCTGAGCAAGAAGAGGCCAAGGCTCTTGGCCTCCATTTGGAAAGGGGTGTGCTCTGCACCCGGTGGGGAATTATACTCTCCAGGGCCAAGGATGGCTTCTCAGGCCACTTACACATGAACTGCTACAGGAGAGGCCCGGAGCTGCCCCGGCTGGGAGGCATCGCTGACCTTCTGCCATAGGTGCCCACCACTGGTCTTAATCCCAGGCACAGTCATTATCTCAATAACAAGTGGCGGTTTTATACTTCCAATTTGGGGTGAGCAAGTCACAGCACCTCCACAAGGTATCCAAGTGAGCAGACTCCGTGGACCAGTCCACATGGCTGTTCCTGGGTTTTTCAAGATGGATCTGGGGCTGTCAGCCGCCTCTCTGAGAGCACAATCCGGTGGGGAGACTGTACCTCCCCGCCACAGCCCTCCAGCTTCCCGTGTCAGGTCACCAGCTCTCCACATAACTGTTTCTCCCTCCCGTTGTGTAGCCCCGGTGAGAAAGCCCTCTGCTTCCTGCTTGCATATGTGTTGCATGAATGTAGGGAGTAATTCTGGAGCTCAAACACAGCTTTTCTGGACAGAAGCTGTCACAGCCAGGCTTTGGGTGTAAATCTTCCCCTTCATCTTTAGACCTGACTTGAGGTTCCATATACTGGGAGGTGGGAACCTGGGGTTATGAAGTTGCCCATGAAGATTCATGGAGGGGCCTCGCACAGACAGCTGACGTCTGCTGTGTTGCCTCCCCTGCTTTGTGCATGCTAGCCGCCTTGCTGCCATGTGTGTGCGTGCACGCTTGTGTGTGTGCGCTTGTGTGTGTGCGCTTGTGTGTGTGTGTGTGCATGCACGCATGTGTGTGTCTGGCTTTCTCATACCTCATTGACTGCATAAAATGTAGGCCTAAGTTGGCATGTTCCTGTGACGTACCTTTGTTCAAGCAGTCAGCTGGCCTCTGTTCTCCCACAGGTTCTACTCACATTCTTACTCCCACCAAATTTCTCATGGACCTGAGACACCCCGACTTCAGGGAGTCCTCTAGGGTATCTTTTGAGGATCAGGCTCCAACAATGGAGTGAGAGCCAAAGAAACAAAGTAAAAGCAGCTTATTACAGAAAAGAAACTCTTCCACTCTGAAGGGCTTTCTTTGATTATTCCGTCACTCTTTTTCTTTATTTCTTCCTTTTTAGTTTATTATTTATTTGATTTTGTTTCAACAAGAAAATGCTTGCAGTTCTCAACACCGATTGAAAATGTGTCCAGTGCTGCCCTCACAGCCCTGCCATGAACCCTCCGGGCTCCGACCTGCTGGCTCACTCGTGCCTTGGGTTCCACACTGCTCAGTCAGACGCCTGCAGGCCGCTGGGTGGAAACCAAAAATGATCATGACTGCTGTGAACAGTTGTCAGAGAGGGAGCTGGAATTCTGGGGGATGCCTGAGGCACAGTGCCTAAGCCTGCTGGTCTGGGATGCATTTGTGGCCCCCACAAGGAATTTAAAGTGGCCTGATTTTGCTGGGTGTGGGGGTCTGAGAGCGAGGCCAGTGGACATTTGGGGAATACCTTGTCCAGGAAGGCAGGCGGTGGTGGAGATGGCTGGTCATGAGGGAAGCTTGGCAGGAACACAGAATGGACCCCAGGTCAGTGGCAGCTGGACAGATGGTGTGAATACCTTTTTCCTAGGACAGGCACTTCTCAAGGAATAAGTGATAAGGAGTAATTGGGTCACAAGCCGCCATCTCCTTGGGGAGCTCCAATTGTTAGTGGGAAGAGCTTTTGTTTCATGTTCCTCTGTAGGAAACAGCACTTAACAGTCATTTGCTCTTTTAGTAATTACTTTTAATTCTGTGGATCCTTTCGAGAGTTGAGTAGTCATACCCCTGTCTCTCCCACTGAAGGTCCGAGAGCCTTTCAGTAGAAATGTATTCTTTTTTTTTTTTTTTTTTTTTAAAGATGGGGTCTTGCTGTGTTGCCCATGCTGGAGTGCAGTGGCTCTTCACAGGTGTGATCACAACACACTGCAGCCTCAAACTCCTGGCCTCAAGAGATCCTCCTGTTTCCACCTCCCGAGTAGCTGGGACCATAGGCCCACACCGCTGTGCCCAGCATAAACCTATTATTAATGCTCTGTGTGGTTTTAGAGAGTGTATTCTGTCTCCCACCAAGCTTGTTACCCAGAACCTGTTGTCTGCTTAGTAGACTATCCAAATTTTATTTTATTTATTATTATTATTATTATTTGAGATGGAGTTTCGCTCTTGTTGCCCAGGCTGGAGTGCGATGGCGCGATCTCGGCTCACCACAACCTCCGCCTCCTGGTTTCAACCGATTCTCCTGCCTTAGCCTCCTGAGTAGCTGAGATTACAGGCGTGTGCCACCACGTCCGGCTAATTTTTGTTTGTATTTTTAGTTGAGACGGGGTTTCTCCATGTTGGTCAGGCTGGTCTCGAATTCCCAACCTCAGGTGATCCGCCTGCCTCAGCCTCCCAAAGTGCTGGGATTATAGGCATGAGTCACCGTGCACGGCCGACTATCCAAATTTTGATCTTCAAAATTGTCCTCATTCCCTCCTCTCTCTTTCCATCCTTCAGATATGATGGGAACCTCCTATGTGTTTAAATGGCAGGCTTCCATCATCACATCGGTGACTCCTTAGCTTGTTATACATTCTGTCATGAGGCCATATTTTGTGTACCTGACTTTGTGTATATTACTGACAATGGACCCTTGAAAAGCCCCTTCACCTGAGCCAAGATGTGGCCCAGTGAGTCACAGAGCTTGAGTCCCCTGTGAGCAGTGGAGAGAGACCTGGACTCAGAGCCAGGAGGACTGGCCTCCACCCCAGCTCCTCCATGGGCACCTGTATGGCTGTAGGAAGATACCCTCGCTCTCTCGGCCATAGCATAGGAGCACAGGGAAGCTGGATCGCAGTGCCCCCAGGCATGCAGGACCTCTGACATTCTGTACATTCAGTGATTACGATTTGTGCCTCAAACCGTGCAGTCCTGCCCACTCTCTCACTCTCTGGTGAGCCTCAGGGGAATGGCCCATCAGAACCTTGGCTAGGTGGCATCAGCAGCTGCTTGTGTATGTTAGGAAAATGATGCTTCCTCCTAAAAGTAGGAACAGGAGGCTACGCTGCTTATCTCCTCCTCTCTCCCTTCCTTGCCATGAACGTCAGGGCAGCAGTGTGCTAAGGAACTGAAAGTAGCTGGGAAAGCAGAAAGTGGACCTGGTTATAGCCCTGGGCTATAGCTCCCATCCTGCCTGGGCTGGCCCTCCCTATAAAGCAAGGCCAGTACGGGGTGAATAAAAGCCATTCTTTAAAAAAAAAAAAAAAAATCATTCCTTAGAAGCACCTTGATAGGTTGTAAATCAGAGACATCTGGTTCTGTGTGCAGACTGCAGGTAGGTAGATGGATTTGCTGCAGTATGTATTTTAAGACTTCTAGAAAGACAAATGTTCAGTCGAGTCTGCAGCAATACCAGACCACTTGCAGCATCTGAAAGCAGCACAGGCTCAAACTGCAAAAGCTCCTGCTAGGATGGGCTTCCCTGCTGGGCTTCCCTGCTTCAGAACAAGCTTCTCCTTTGCAGAGTATTTTCCTTTGCATTATATTTGATCAGCACAGTAGGTCTCATCTGCCATCAAAACAAAGAGAAAGTAAACAGACTCCGTATATCCCTGGCTTCTGAAATCATTTGCTGAGTGGTGTTGGGTTTTAGAGCATTCAGTTAAGCAAGGCACAGAGCCCTAATACCAGTGAGGTCAGAAAGCAGATTAAGGTCTGACTTGCCCTATTCTGTTATGATCGGCCAGGTGACCAAAGTGCAGGACAGTGCAGACCATCAGAAAACCTGAGTGTCCTAAAGACCAGTATTGTGACAGCATATCTTTTGTGTCTTTTTTCTTTCTTTTGAGTCAGGGTTTCACTCTGTTACCCAGGCTGGAGTGCAGTGGCATGATTTCAGCTCACTGCAGCCTGGACCTCCTGGATTCAAGCGATCCTTCCACCTCAGCCTACCTAGTAGCTGGGACCACAGGCATGCGCCACCACGCCCGGCTAATTTTTTTGTATTTTTGGTAGAGGCTGGGTTTCACCATGTTGCCCCAGGCTGGTCTTGAACTCCTGAGCTCAAGTTATCCTCCAGCCTTGGCCTACCAGTTGCTGGGATTACAGGCATAAGCCACTGCGCCTGGCCCAACATACCTTTTAAGAGAGGATGAGTTTTCCTGCAGCAAATGAGAGGGTTCCTAGCAGACACCGTGCATGGGTGATGGGGCCGCACCCTCTCTTCCCGGCTCCTCTCCCTCCTGTAGCTGAGGCTGGCTCCCCTGAGGTCAGGGTTAACCAACAACTCTCGCTAAATCCTCACCAATCCCTCCACGTTGTCTAAGAAATGAAATCTTTTGATTAGATTTTCACCTCTCTGCTCTGGTTGGTTTATGATAAAAGTACTCTTCACTGGGGAGTACCCAAGAGATTGTCAGAAGCAAATGAGGGAGAGCTGAAGACTGGATCAGATCTTTGTACTACATGGGGGCCACCTGGGAGAAAGTTTGAGGGTTTTTATATTGATTACTTTGCTTCATTCCACATTGGGATCAGGTATGTTTCATTTTTCTTTGGGACTCAGATTTGAATCTGAATTCAGGCCCACCTATTGCCTGGCTGCTATCTAAGCATCCACCTGCCCATCCCCTCCCCTCCCCTCCCAGGGGTCCTGAGAATCAAGAGCCTGGAGGCACTGCTTCTGGGCCTGTCTATGCCACCCACCCTGAGCAAGCACCTGACTGCTCTGGCCTTCATGTGTCCCATGTGTAGGATGAGAGGGGAGGGCCAGATCCCAGTTTTCCAAACCTGGCTGATGATCATACTCACCTGGGCTGCTCTTAAACGTACACGTTTTCTGGCGCCACCCTGCATATTCTGAGTCAGTAGGTCTGCTTCAGCCAAACTCAAGAATGATTGGACCAGCTAGCCTGCAAGAACACTTCCGGTTTTCAGATTCTGTCCGCATAGAAAGAAGGATTTTGTCCCATCAGAGCTTGCTGTGTCTGGCCCACAGCTTTGAAAACATGTACACAGTCATGTGGGTGGGCATCAACTTAGTTTTTAGAGACCACTGTTTACATTTCATAATCTTCCAGTTATAGGGACTAAATAGGACCCTCAAAGCAATAGAGCCCACTTGCTGCTCTGTTCTGGAAAACCAATATGGTCAGTCATCTGTGGATTCAAAATGAGAATGTGTGCAAAATGTGGATTATGGACTCACTCAGCTTAATTTGCAATGTTTGTAGTGGTGAGAAGCTTGACCAATTTATTAAAACAACACGGACGATTGAGTGTGAAGAACTGGCTTTCTGATGGTCAGCATTTACACCAGCTAGTCTGGTTCCCTTAAGGAAACTACACAGGTGAAGTCCTAGGCCCATGCCTGTTGCCGAGGCTTCACTGATTGTCTCCAGTACTCAGTCCTAGAATTGTTCTTCAGTCAAGACTGGGAGCAGTGAATGGTCAGTGATTAGATAATATGAGAGACTTCTAGTGCATGAATTCCCTAACCTCTGTCTGGTCTCCCCCAAATCCTAGATTGACATATCAGCAGAGACAGGGAGGACTTGGGAATCAGCATCTGATCAGAGGAACTCCTTCAGATGCAGCCTCTAAGATGAGTCTGCCCTGTTATTTCCTGGAGTCATTTGGATGGCTAAGGAGGGCCTCGGGGACGTTTTCTCTGGCACATGCGCTCCTTGCTGTTGCCTTTAACGAGGAAGCTCCCAAGCGAATCCCCACACTCTGCAGGACAGGCCATCTTTCAGCATTTGGACACGTGGGCTACATGGAGTTGCAATTTGGAGGCCCCCCATCCTGGCAATGGTTCACTCTTCAGAGTCTGGGGCAAGCCTTGTAATGTGCGTCCTTTCTCCTCATTTGTACATCAGCCTTTGGCCTCTTTTAGGACAAGCAGGAGGAGTGGTAAGGTCACAGAAATGAGTGGACTTCAGGGGAAAGGAGTGCTATAAAGAAGCCCAGGGACACACTCCTGAAACCTGCATCACATTTGCTGAAGGAGCCTCGGGTCTGCAGAATAATGAGTCAGCTTTCCAGCACAGGGCCCCTGCAGGCCGCATGCACAGGGCGTCCATCTGAGGACAAGTTCCTTGCTCAGCCAGGAGTGGGCAGCTGGGGCCTGAACTGCAGAGAAAGGGATGTTGGAAGAACAGAGAGGGCTTTCCAAGTTTCTGCTAGTCTGGAGTGACCAGGAAGGGCTGCAGTTCCAGCAGTCTTGGGTCAGCTGAGCGAGTAGTCAGTGGTCAAATGCATAGGGACCCTGGTATTGGAGTCATGCCCAATGAGCCAGCCAAAGCCGCCTTTTGCCTGCCCTTGAGGTGGAAATCTGGCATCCAGTGGTTTCTGCTCCCCTGCTCCCATGAAGGCCCATTCCTTTGCCACGTCTCCAGGGAGGCACATTTTCAAGTACGGGTCTCTTTTGTTCCGTTCTTCTCTCCCACCAGGACCTTTCTTTGAAGCGCACTGCTGCATGCGTGCGGGCCTCATGCTCACCCACACACCACCCCGGTCACCTGTCTTCTGTTTAAGTCCATGTCCAAACCACACGACCCATGCATCTTTTTTTACTGCACTTACTAGATCTCTCTCTCTCTCCTTACGAAAAAGACTTTCATTTATTTTTATTTTTATTTTTGCAGTAGAAGTATAGCTAATTCCATTAGCTTAAATTTTTGCAAGCATTTCTAATCTCTTACAATACGCGGTCTCTGCAAGGTAAGGCCTCAGGTCCCCTGGCCCTTTCCCTCTCACACCTGAGGTCCCACCCACCAGGGCAGTACCAACTGGCTGGCTCCCAGAGGTCAGTGGATTCTCCCAGGGGGCTTTGCCTGTCAGCATCCTCTCCCAGGCACCATGCTTTCCACACATGGTCCCCCTACCAACTCTGGCCCCATTTTCAACCTTTCCCCCTTGCCATGTTTGGAATTTCTCTCCTGGCTTCACTTGGAGTTTGAGAGTGAATTAGAAATGCAGCTGCCCATCACCTGCAGATGGCTCTGCACCCTGATGGCGAGGCGGCTCGTTCCTTGGTGCAGCCTGGGACCCTGCCTGAGCCAGAGGATGTGTTTTGTTTATCCACAGCCCCTGAATATCTCCCAGGCCTATTGCAACGGGACCCCAACCCCAACCCCTGCTCCCCTCCCTGCTTCCACTAGACCCAGACGAGGGTGGGGGAGGGGGGTGGGTGCAGATCTGGCAGTCGAGAAGCGCAGGAAAGGAAAAGTGTTAGAAACCAGAACTGGCAAGCTCACTGTCTTCTCTGCCTCCTCCAGGATCCACGCACATCCTCACCCCACAGAAACTGCTGGACACGCTGAAGAAACTGAATAAAACAGATGAAGAAATAAGCAGTTAAAAAAATAAGTCGCCCCTCCAAACACGCCCCATCCCACAGCGGTCCACAGCTTCCCACCACCGCCCGCCTCAGTTCTTTGCGTCCGTTGCCTCCCCAGCCCTGCACGCCCTGGCCGGCACTGTTGCCGCTGCGTTCTTGTGTTCAGTGATGCCCTCTTCTTGTTTGAAACAAAAGAAAATAATGCATTGTGTTTTTTTAAAAGAGTATCTTACATATGTATCCTGAAAGGAGAAGTTCATGTGCAGCTGGTGTGCAGCAGGAGAAGTTTCTGGACTGTTAGGATGAATGGACGCCTCCTCCCCGTTATTTAAGATTTGTGACCTTGTACATAACCCTGGGTGACATGTGCACATTGCTTGGGTATGGAACGGTAGAAATTTGGGTGTTTTTAAAACCTTGTTTGGGGTTGTTCCTGTCCTCGTTGAGAATCATAGAGATATCTGTGTTCTTGGAGTATTTCACACTGAGGACTAATCTGTTATCTTCATTCCAGTCTCTACCCCTCAGGGCCTGCTCTCATCCAAATAACCTGGGAGGTGACAATCAGGACATCTCAGGAGGTCCGAGGTGGAACAGACCTCTTTGCCTTTCCCAGTGTCTCAGGCCCCCAGTGGTGTGGCTATGGGTGGAGGCTGGGGTGTCTGCACAAAGCCAGGCCAGCGTCCTCCTCCACAGCCCGTAACTGTCTCCTCCCCGGCCTGTGTCCACAGTGCTGGGATCCTGAGGGAAGTCCTCCAGTCTGTCACAGTGCCCCGACAGGTGAGAAGCAAACTCCCGCTGGGAGCCTCCATCTCTTTGGAAAAACAGTCCGGAGCCTGTGGCCCAGGCCCTTCTGTCCCCAGGCATCACCCCAACAGCTCATTTTCCCTAGTCAGCCTTCGTTCAAGGGTCAGGAATGAACCAGAACAGATGGGTTCTGGAGGTGCCTGAACAGAGGGCTATGGCTGTGGAGAAGGTTCTTGGCCCATTGGATTCACACAGACCCTGTACCCTCTCGGCAAGAATCTTCAGTCAGATTATCCTCAGTTTCAGATACTTCGTAATACCTTATTTTGTGTCGTGTGGGGTCATACGTCATCATGTTTGTAAGAGAAGATGGTCATTTTATTCTCTGTATAAAACTTAGCTCTAAAGCAGAAACTAAAGCAGCAAATGCAGGAAAGGCTGTCTCGCCATCCTCAAGACTCAGCAGCTCTCATTCTCCAGTGGTGAGCACACCATTTGTCCTGCTGCTGTTGTGAAATATAACAGTGGAAGTCACAAAAATGTCCCCTGCCCAGCCCCCTCGCCGCCCTTGACCTCCTGCAAGCCATGTGTGTATTACTCGTCTAGTGATGTCCTCGCAAAGTGCTGTACACGAGCTCGGCGCCGCCTCCACCTCCCTTCCAGAGCCTGCCCCCCGCCCTCTCCGCTCGCTGCATTGTGGTGTTCTCTTCTCAAGGCTTTGAAATCTCCCCTTGCACTGAGATTAGTCGTCAGATCTCTCCCCGTCTCCCTCCCAACTTATACGACCTGATTTCCTTAGGACAGAACCGCAGGCACCTGCTCCGGGTGTCGTACTCCCGCTGCTTGTTCTGTCCCCTCCCTCGGACCAAACAGTGCTCATGCTTCAGGACCTTGTTTGTCAAAGATGTTGGTTTCCCTTTCTCTGTTATTTATATGAAAATAATTTATCAAAAGGATATTTTAAAAAAACTAGTCTGTCTTGAAACTTGTTTACCCTAAAATTATCAGAATCTCAGTGTTTGAAAGTATTGAAGCACAAACATATATCATCTCTGTACCATTCTGTACTAAAGCACTTGAGTCTAATAAAGAAATCAGCACCCCTTCCCGGTGTCCAGGGGCCTGTAGTCTGGCTTTCCTTTGGGCAACAGAAGGAGAAAGCTTTTACAGTGGTTCGTCACAGAGGAGGCGGCCACCCCGAGCTGTGGCATGGTCAAGTCAGGTCCCCATGGCTTGCATTAAATCTGTAGCTGCCTCGCATTGGGGACTAGCCATGGAACTTGTCTTGGGCCTCTAGCTGCAACAGGACGCTGCCTAGAGATGAGGCCATTCTTCCATCGCGTTTCTCCTTATCTAGAATGCCTGCCTCCCTCCTTCCCTCCCTCCCTCCCTCCCTCCCTCCCTCCTTCCCTCCCTTCTTCCCTCCCTTCCTTCCTTCCTTCCTTGTTGGAATTACAGGCACCCACCACCATGTCCAGCTAATTTTTGTATTTTTAGTAGACACGGGGTTTTGCCATGTTGGTCAGGCTGGTCTTGAACTCCTGACCTCAGGTGATCTGCCCGCCTCAGCCTTAGAATGCTTTTCTAATGCAGACACTGCGGGGCTCCATCTTTGCAGATGCTCCTTCTCCAATCATGTGGTGCCTGTGTATTTAGGGCACGCAGTGAGGTCACTTCACCAGCATTACGCCTCTCCTCTGCTCCTGCTGCTGCACCACCCACCCTACGTGTACAATGAACTTCTCTCCAGGATGGAAGCTGGTGCGTGTCCTGCTTGTCTTGGAACCTGCTCATGACCTGAGAAGACTGCGATGAGGTGGGCCCAGCTCTCAGAGTGGACCCTAGGTGAGAGTTGAGGCCACACAGGAAACTCGCTAGAATGCTGGGCCCAGGGGAGTGAGACCCTTTGTAGGGACTTCTATCTCTACTTCTTTTTCCCCCATCATTCTCGTTCTGATCCTGATCTCCTTTACGGCACTGAGAAAGCTACCAACTCGACGGCGGTGGGTGGAAGTTGCACCACCATAGCCTGCTATAGTCTGGTGAGACATGTCTCATACGGAGGTAACAACCATTGACTGACCATGCCAGGCCCGTCACATACTTGCCTGTTAGGCAGATCCTCTCCCATTCTACAGATGAGGAAGCTGAGGCTCAGAGAGATGCAGAAATTCAGAAAGCTCACTCCCCTGACACCCACTGTCTTGTTGTTGTTGCTGTTATTTTGAGACTGGGTCTCACTCCCTTGCCCAGGCTGGAGTGCAGTGGCCCAATCACGGCTCATTGCAGCCTTGACCTCCCGAGCTCAGGTGATCCTCCCACCTCAGCCTCTCGAGTAACTGAAACCACAGAACCACAGGCATGTGCCACCATGCCCAGCTAATTTTTGTATTTTTCTGGAGAGACGGAGTCTTACTGTGTTGCCCAGGCTGGTCTTGAACTCCTAGGCTCAAGCAATTGGCCTGCCTCAGCCTCTCAAACTGCTGGGATTACAGGTGTGAGCCACTGTGGCCCCCATTATCTTTATCATTAGTTAGTTCACCAGCAAACAGAAGGTTTTGGAACGAGATCCAAGATTGGAATTTTAAAAATTCTAAATTGTTCTAAGCCAAAGTTACATTAAAGCAAAAGCAGCACTGTTTGCTGCTTCCTGGGATCATCTGTCCCTCCAAGCTCATGGGAGTGGTTTTCTAGTATCTCCCTGGTTGTTTCTGAAGTCTTCTGTCCCAGCTTTCGTCACCTCTCTCCATTCCACCCCTTCACGGCCACCCAAGAGCAAATGAGTGTGGCCCTTTAGGTTCTGGGCCAAAGCCCTGGTCCTTCTGTTACCAGCAGAGATGGAACCCACAGGCTAAAAAGTCTCCAATGGTGTTAAATATCCTTGGAGGAGCAGGGAGCTCCAAAACAACCCAAAGCACCAACTGAGCCATTCTAAAGCCACGCCTGTGAGCTGCAGCCAGGCACTGTGCCTTTCCGGAGGCCCTGGTCCAGGCTGTGGGGCTCAGCAGAGACTGCCAGGGGCCTGTACACCCCCCTCGGAATGACACCAGGCATTTGTTCCTGAGGAAGCAGAAGGCCAGAGTGGTTAGGCGCACAGACTTTAGCATCAGCACACCTGGGTTAAATCCACCCTTGGCCTCTTTCCACATGATCCTGACAGGTGACTCTGTTCCCTCCTGTACTGCCCGTGGAGGCGGGAAGCTGAGCCCAGCTCCCAGGAAACAGTGAGGGCTCAGCCATTGATGATGATGATGGTGATGATGGTGATGATGAGTCCAAGCCAAGCCTGGGGAGAAAAGAATAAATAGTCTCATAAATTTAAAAAAGCCCAATGCTCATCAACAAGAGAACAGATAAACTGTATATTCACCCAGTGGTGAGTTTAAGGCAGTTAAAAATGCATGACACACAGTTGCATATATCCACATGAATAGATCTCAGACACTTGACAGTGAGTGAAAAGAGCACAGCATGGGAGGATACAGACAGGATGGTGCATTTATATAAAGCTTCAATGTTGCAGGCTGAAAGAGTGAGGGTCGTGATGAACTCAGTATCCTGGAGCCTATATGAGTAAACAGCAAACTGTTCTCATAAATGCAGAATGTTGGCAAACTGACAAACTGCGTCTGCCGCCCAGAAGGAATGCAGAGGGCAGTCATGCCCTAAGCACAGTTTTCTTGTGATTAGGTGCATCTGAAGCCTGTTAGCAATAATGTGAACCTGTGATCAATTAAGCAGCTGACCAGTCATTACCTCCTCCTCCCTGCTCTTTCTACCCCGTAAATACGAAGGGCTGTAGAAGCTCAGAGCTGCTGCTTTTGCTCACTAGAAGCAGGGAGCCTTCTTCCCCCGACCTCTTCTTTAAAACAGTTTAAATTTTCATTTCTGCGTTCGTCCTTCATTCAGTCCGGTAGTAACCGTGGCAAACCACGGCACTTCAGAACCTCATAAAAAGCACTATATATTGTGGATACATATGTTGCAAATGTGTGAAAACACGTGTGGAAATAACAAATACCGAAGTCAGGATAGTGACTGGCCAGGGGGAAGGGATGGTTATTATTGTTGTCTTATATCTTCAATTTCAAATGAGCCACGGGCTTAAAAGTGCTTCATTGAATAAAAAAAAAAAAAGTATTAATACAATCATTCTGATTGTGGTTATACATTAAGGCCAGGCATAGTGGCTCATGCCTGTAATCCCAACACTTTGGGAGGCTGAGGAGGGCGAATCACTTGAGCCCAGGAGTTTGAGACCAGCCTGGACAACATGGTGAAATCCTGTCTCTACAAAAAATTTAAAAATGACCCTGACATGGTGGCATGTGCCTGCAGTCCCAGCTACTCAGGAGGCTGAGGTGGGAGGATCACCTGAGCCCAGGAGTTCAAGGCTGCAGTGAGCTGTGATTGTGCCACTGCACTCCAGCTGGGACAACAGCAAGATCCTGTCTCTAAATAAAAAAATAATACATGGCACTTATTATGTGCCAGGCACTGAGTGCTTTATATGTGACTTGCTGAATCTTCTCAACAACTCTACAAGTTAGGTGCCATTATCAGCCCTACTTACATATGGGGAAGCAAAACCACACAGAGACAAGGCAACTTGGCTAGGGCCCTCCAGTTAGTACATGGCAGAGACTAGATTTAAACACAGCCGTCTGACTCCAGAGCCCTCCACTATCACAAAAACATTATCAGCTGGGTGCAGTGGCTCACGCCTGTTAATCCCAGCACTTTGGGAGGCCAAGGAGGGTGGATCGCTTGAGGTCAGGAGTTCAAACCCAGCCTGGCCAACATGGTGAAACCCCGTCTTTACTAAAAATACAAAAAAAATTTAGCTGGGCATGGTGGTGGACACCTGTAATCCCAGCTACTTGGGAGGCTGAAGCAGGAGAATCACTTGACCTCGGGAGGCAGAGATTGCAGTGAACCAAGATTGTGCCATTGCACTCCAGCCTGGGGAACAGAGTGAGACTCCATCTCAAAAAAGAAAGAAAACAGTCTCAGTATAAGCAGAAAGTGGGATTCCAGTGTGAATACAGAGTGTGAGTCTGTATAGGCTGGAACAAATGACTCGTGAAGGACGATGATTTTACACAAGCAACAAAAAAGAAGAAAAAGAATGGAAATAAAGTGGTACAATAAAAATTGGATTTTCCTGGGCCAGTGAGTTATACCTGCCTGGTCCCCTGTGCATTACCTGTTATAAAAGAACATTGTCAAAGAGTGGATGAACACACTGAAATATTTTAGTTATTTCAGTTATTTCAATCAAATATTTCAATCAATTTCAAATGAAGCACAGTAACCTAGTCCATAAGCCAAGCACATTTTTCCAGACCAAGCACTAAAGAATACATTCTAGAATGAAACTGATGAATTCCATTGCTAAAGGTTGGGAAGAAACCCAAACTACAGAGACAGTGATCTGAGTTACGCTCCTTGGAGTACAAAGTGGCACCAACTGTTGCCAAGAAGCCTGTAAAAGCGCTACTGCTGGCCGGGTGTAGTGGCTCACGCCTGTAATTCCAGCACTCTGGGAGGCTGAGGTGGGCCGGATCACCTGAGGTCAGGAGTTCAAGACCAGCCTGGCCACATGGTGAAACCCATCTCTACAAAAAATATGACCTCCAGTATCCTTTGAGCAGATGACACTGTTGGCTGGTGGGGAGTGTCCGTGGCAGACTATGTAGAAGGATGCTGTCAACACTTGTGGTCCCTCTTACAACTGGGTTGAATGTGGTGTGGAGGCAGGATTTTTGAGTCTCTCCTGGTGGGAGCGCTGCCTCTTTATGAAGGGAAAGTGTTCAGATAGTGCTTTGCTCTGTTTATCATTAAAATCGCGTGCTCAGATGACACCAAAAGCACAGACAAAACAAGATAGGTAAATTGTTCTACTCAAAATTTAAAACTACAATCAAAGGACACAATCTGCACCGGTGAAAAAGGCAGTCTCAGAGTAGGAAAAAACTGTCTGCAAATCACATAATCTGATAAGGGGC